TGCACCCAGTTTTCGCCACCACATCACAAAAAAGGTGTTGAGACTTTGGGAAAAGGGCAAAGAAGAGCAGCCAAGAACTGAGCTGAAGAAGCTTCTTGGAGGAGAAGCGAAACGTCTTCAAAGAAAAACCAGAAAGTCCAGTTGCCTCTTGAGAAAAGAAGCACCTTTGGGACGAAGAGCAACTAAGGTGATCAAAGGCCTGGAGACGAAAACATACAGAGGACGGTTTCTTCCCACATATAAATAACAAGAAAAAAATCAAGGAAACAGTCGGTCCACTAAAGAGAAAAGACAGCAAGGAAGTAACAGGCAACAGAGAGAAAGCAGAGCTGCTTAGCTCATTCTTTGCATCCGTCTTCACACAAAAAGAAATTATAGCCCAACATACCCAAAAAACTCCTGCAAAGACAAACTAGAAATTAAAATTAAAATAAGCAAAAAAAAAATATTAAGAGAACACCTGTCTGACCTTGATGAATACAAACCACCGAGGCCTGAATGGATTACATCCCAGAGTTTTAAAGGAGCTGGCAGAGGTCATCTCAGAACCACTGCACCATATCTTTCAAAAATCCTGGAGCACCAGGGAACTACCAGAGGACTGGAAAAGAGCTGATGTGGTTCCCTTCTTCAAAAAAGGGGGAAAAACCAGACCTAGGAAACTACAGACCAATCAGCCTAACATCAATACCCGGGAAGATACTGGAAAAGATAATAAAAAAACAGACCTTGCTAACATCTAGAAACAAGTAAAGTAATAACTAGCAGTCAGCACGGGTTTGTTAAGAGCAGATCATGCCAAACCAATCTTATTTCATTCTTCAACACAGTGACTAAATTACTAGACCAGTGAAATGCTGTGGACATAATATACTTAGACTTCAGCAAGGCATTCGACAAAGTAGACCACAACCTACTTCTTGGTAAGCTAGAAAAAAGTGGAATAGATAGCACCACCCCTAGATGGACTCACAACTGGCTGGCAAACCGTACTCAACGAGTAGTCCTTAATGGGTCTAAGTCTACATGGAGGGAAGTAAGCGGTGGGGTGCCACAAGGTTCCGCCTTAGGCCCAGGACTCTTCAATATCTTCATTAACGACTTAGATGATGGAATAGAAGAGGAACTTACCAAATTTGCAGATGATACTAAGCTGGCAGGAATAGCTAACACCCAAGAAGATAGGCTCAAGATCCAGAGGGATCTTGACAGACTAGAACTCTGGAATGTATCTAACAAAATGAAATTCAATGTAGAGGAAAGTAAAGTCCTACACTTAGGCAAGAAAAACCCAAAGGACACATATAGATTGGGTGAAACCAAGGCTGAATAGCAGGAACTGGGAGAGGGATCTCGGAGTCTTAGTGGACAACCAGTTAATGAAGAGCAAGCGATGTGCAGGTGCAGCCAAAAAAGCCAATGCAAATCCTAAGTTGCATTAACAGAGGGATACAATAGAGATCAAGTGAGGTACTAATACCACTCTATAAAGCCTTAGTAAGACCACACCTAGAGTCCTGCATCCAGGTTTGGTCACCACACTATAAAAAAGATGTTGAGGCTCTAGAAAGAGTGCAGAGAAGAGCAACCAGGATGATGAAGGGACTGGAGACTAAAACATATGAAGGTTGCAGGAACTGGGCCTGGATAGTTGAGTAAAGAGAAGGACCAGGGGAGACATGATAGAGGTCTTCCAATATTTGAGGGGCTGCCACAGAGAGAAAGGGCTCAAGCTATTCTCCAAAGCACCTGAAGGCCAGATAAGGAACAAGGGATGGAAACTGAACCAGGAGAGATTCAACCTGAAAATAAGGAGAAATTTTCTGACAGTGAGGACAATCCACCGATGGAACAGAAGTTGCCTTCAGAAGTTGTGGGAGCTTCATTGCTGGAAGCTTTCAAGAAGAGACTGGACTTCCATCGGTCAGAAATGGTGTAGGGTCTCCTGTAGGGGTGGGGGTGGGTTGGACTAGATGACCTCCAACTTTGTTAATCTATACCTGACAGGGAGACACCTATCCACTTTCCTCCTTCGCCCCTCCTGGAAGGAGCCCCTCAACCTTGGGGCCTTCAGCCAAGCCCCCCTCCCAACCACCCACAGCAGGCTTTCAGGGGAGGAGGAACAAAAGCAAGGTGGTTTGTCTCTAGCCCCTCCCATTCTCTCCCCCCTCCCCCCACAGCACAGAGAGCAAAGTCCGATCCTCTGGATGGATCACAGTGTGGAATCTCCCTGGGAAAATTCCTGGGGAATTGGGACGTGGGACTGAGAGTCGTAATGGTGTGGGGGGGAGGTATCCCCCGCTTCCCTCCCTCCCATTCCAGCTCTCCCCTTGTTGGGCTGCCTGCACAGAATTTAGCAGCCTTCTGAAAAGGAGCAACCCCTCTCCCCTCCCCCTCCCCAATTTCCTAGATTATCCCCCTCCCCAAGAACACAGGTGCTTTCTGTGCCACCTCTGGGGCTTTTCTGTCCTGGGGAAGCCACCCAACACTGAGGGACTCTGGTGTCCTATCCACCCCCAAGAGTTTCCGAGAGAGGAACGAACGCTTGCTCTCGTGTAACAACACCAAGTAGCCCAGTCGAAGACCCACCTACTTTCCACCAGGTACCCAGGAACAGCCCTGCCCTCATCCCACTCTGCTCCGCTGGCCCAGCAAATGCCAACTTGGGGTTCATGGCACTTCTGGAGGGGTCCTCACCTGGTCAGAGGAATCCAGAATCCGTGGTGGCAGGTGGATCTTCCGCTCTCCGTGGGTGATCAATCTCTCCGTCCTTTGAACTGCTGACCGGGTTTATGATGGGAACAGAGTTCAGAGGTTGTAAAACCCGTGCAAGCCCTCAATTGCGATTACTTTATTATCACTTCTCTTGCTAGAGTACAACATGTGTAGAATGAGATTGGCTGAAAATTCACCCATGCGCAGAAATGATCAGATTAACTATGGTATTAAAAATAAGGAAAAGGTGATTTTTAAAAAAATATGGAATTTGTGGTATAATTGGCTAAAAAAAAAGGAACTGAAGATGTTTAGTGAAAACGACCAAAGAAACGCTAAAGAAGAATTGAATATATGACATATGTGTATGTAAATGTGTATATCATTAAAAAGTTTCTCTTCCCTTTGGTTTGTGTTGGTTTTATTGGACAAGGGTTTGGGTCAGAACAGTGGGGCTGACCCAAAGAAGAGGGGGATGAAGCTATTCTCCAAAGCCCCCGAAGGCAGGACAAGAAACAAGGGATGGAAATTGAGGAGAAACTTTCCAACAGGGAGGACAATTCACCGGTGGAACAGCGCCCCCTTCGGCTTTAAAAGGTATGGGGAGAAACACCCTCTTTAGAGTCTGAATCCCACCCTCTTATTCTGGCTGGGCGGAGGGTCCTTTCAGGCTTTTTCCTCCATCATGGGATTTCCAGGCAGGGCTAGACAACCCCGAGTCCTTTCGCTGTCATGCCCCTGTTGGAGTCTGACTCTGAGGGAGAGGAGGAACAGCAGACAGGGAGTGGGAGTGTGTCTCCAGTGGTTGTGGAAGAAACTGGGGAAGGGTACAGGCCGGATGGGCATTCAGAGGAAGACCAGGCCCATCCCCTCTTTGTCCTAGGGCATGCAGGGAGGAGCGGAGAAGGGAGAAACGTGAGTGGCGTGGTCTATGGGGGAGGAAGGGGCCCTGATCCCCTTCATGGGCTGCAGCTGGGAGGACGGGTTAAAAGGACAAACTGTGCATGGCAAAGTTGCTGGAAGCAAAGCATGCATTATTCTTGTTGGAGCTTATCTGTGTTTTGGCTTCCTCCTAATTGTGGTTGCTGCATTATCTGGTAGAAGCCTGCAATTAATCATCCTGGCCTGCCGAAGTAAGTCCTTCAGTGTGGTGCGTGTTGTGTTTTTTATTTCGAATTAACTTTACTTTGGGTGCGGACTGCATTTACTTCCTCCGTAAACTGTTTTCTTTAAGAGTTTGATATCCTGCCAAGGATAATTGGACGTTGGGGCCAAGTTGGAGGCATTAAAGGGACTTTCTTCTATTTTTCTGACTTGGTTATTTTTGTATCATGTTCCGGGTCATCACACCCGGGTTCGGCCGGGCCCATTGCTAACATTATGGCTGGTTCAGCGAACTGCCAAATCCCACCCCTGGCAGACCCCTCCCACCCTGCCCCACCCCTCCCAGGAGTCTCCACGCAGCCCATTTTGGATGCAGGTAAGTACAGGGCCCGTGGGGAGCCTGGGGAGTGGCGGAAAAATGGGCCTTCCGGAAGTTCTGGGAGGCCACGCCCACCCAGCAACTGGGCAGAAAATATTTAATTTGTCCATTTTGAAATCTTAGATAGAAACCAGCTTTTTCCATTCCACAAAATATTGAATCTTTCCCTTTCTCACTTTCGATCCT